TTACATAAATAAAGAAATATTTAACTACAGAAGTTCAACTCCAAACATCTTAAGATCAGAATGTGTTCAATATTTTATACAACAAAAGATGGCTAAATTTTCACAAATTTTATTGTGATGTTTACATATTATATGGAGGCTCTTTGTTCTGTAGAACAAAGGAATTCTGCATATATTTTCTGAGTTGGCTTCTAATTTATTTTGCTTAGGGTTCTCAGACACCAGATGACTGCAAGCGGAAGCAACTAACTACAACGAAGCTCTGGGGAAAGATTGGAGCTTCCTCTATGATTAGTATTTGCTAGCCTTTAGAAGTGTCTCAAGTGATTAAGAATTTGAAAATTTAAGTTAGAGATCTCAAGTTTAAATTATGAGATGGTGGAGAGGGATAAAAAAAAAAGAGTTATTTTCTATTGTATAACACATCATCTAATATATAAAAAAGGAATTTCTCATCCTTGCATATCGGAGAAAAGAATATATATATTAGTATGTATATATATACCAGATATCGTCTGCATATAGAATCCCATTTTACCACTGAAATGTAAAATGAAAGGTTGATGTGTAAATTGCATGCAACAAGAAAATAACGAGTTGATGAATTATCTCTTTAACTATCAACTAAATCAAAAAATTGTAGTAGAAATAGTAAATACCAGTAGCCTGCAGCATAATGATAATAAAGGAACAAGAATCTCAAAATTGTGCATCAAATCAACTTGTTTAAGATCTAGAAACTGTGCCCCTACCACCTTGAGGTTGTGAGCCCTACTCTCACTTTAATGGATTTTATTTCTCCATGTTTTTTCTTAATTGTATAGTGCTTAATTGTTGTAATCTCTTATTAAAAAAAAAAAAAAAAAAAGAAGAAGAAGAAAGAAAGTAGGATTCCTCTAAGAAGACAGTTCTCTACATTAGCTTATTAGATTGTCACACCAAATTAAAAATTTTTTACCAAAAATGATAAGTGTACAATCCTAAGATATCATTATATTATTAATTTTTTTATTAAGAGATTTATCCATGATAATATCTGTATTTATTTATTTAATAATATATATATCATAAGTGGAAACTAATTACAATTCTAAATCATCGTAAGTATATCATTACTGAATTTTTACTTTTATCATTTTTTTTTATATACGTAATTAAGTAGTGGGTATAAAGGATGCATGCAATCAGAAAGCACAAACCTCCTTTTTTTTCCTGCCTTAAGTTGTAAAACTCCCTCCAGACTCCAGTCCCTTGCGGTCTACATATATGCAGGGAAGTTAACGTGCAAGATACAGACTGTCTCTTGTCATTCATACCATGGTCCCTTCTTAAATCGGTTTGTCTAGAGCACCTATGACTGCCATGTTCTTGGTGGCTTTCTCCATTGCCTTGCTGAAAAAGTATCTAGAGCCTAATTGAAAATAATAGAAAGTGGAGAATGGAAAGATAATACATTTTCCTAAGAAATCAATTGATTTTGGCACCAAAAAATGAAAATTCCAATTGAAATCTTTTTTTTTTTTTTTAATCTCTTGATAATTAAAATTTTTTTAATATTTGAAAAAAAATTAATTTTGTTTGAAATTTCTTATTTGTCATTCCTTCCACCAACTAAAAAAGTCTTCTCTCCTTTAAAGAGTCGTTTAAATATAACTAAATTTAACGTATTTTACAAATTAACGTTTACTTACCAATAAATTTAATTCTAGAATTGAAAAAAAAATGAAGTTAGTATTTTGTACTCTCTCTATCCTAAAATCATTACTTTTTTTTATTTTGAATTTGTCCCAAATTAATTATAATGTTTTAATTTTTTAAGATAGAAAAAAATGATTTTTTTATTTTAATTATATCATTATTTATTTACTTTAATTAATTATCTTATAACAAAAAGTCTATTTTTTTTCTTTTACTCCTTCATTCATTTTTAATAGTCTTATTTTGATTTTTTGATTTTTAAACATAAATTTTAAATGAAAATTTAACAATTTATATAAACAATAATTGAAAAGTTTTTTTTTTTCCTATATGAAGTTCTTCTCTAGTATTTTTATTTGATAAAAAAAATCAATTGTCATATATAAATGAGTAAGGATTTATTTACACACAAATTTTATAAATCACACTTATAAAATCTCAATTACTCATTTTTACACTTTCAATGGCTGAAATTTATTCACATTTGTTAAAAATAATTATTTTTTTTATTTTAAAAGTCATCCCAATTCTTAATCATTAAAAATAGAAAAATAAATTATCAAGATTTTATGTAAATATAATATCTAAAATTTGTAAGTGGATTCCTCCTTCACAAATGTTGATTGTTAAATACATTTTAAGTATATATTTTTATGCTTTCATCAGTTATAAATTAATATTAATTAATTAGAGTTTTGACCCTTGACCCTTCCATTTCATTGATAAATCATCGCATTTAGGTACGATCAATTAGAATGAAAGGAAATTCACCATAGTAAGGGAACTTAAACTTCAAGACTAAATTTAATATTAAACTCATTAGTGTAGCGAAGATTTCTTTTCATTGAAATTTAATAAAGCCTAGCTTGAGTTAAATGTAATGGTATCGAGACCAGTTAAGAGATTAAACATGAGTTATCTTTGATTGTATAATATTAAATTAAAAATAATATAAAACAAGATCATATTTCTTTTTTTTAATAAAACAATGGCTGTCGATTATACTTATATAATTGACAGAAATAGTTGTTGATTATACCTATTATAATTTCATATATATATATATATAATGTAATAAAAATTTAAAACTATTAAATGTAAAATTATTTTAAACTGATATTATACACATATATACTTTGATTTAATTATCAATTCTAATACTAACTGTAATACCCCAAAAATTTCTAGAATAAATAAGTGAGTTAGGGACTAACTTGTGAGAAAATATTATTTGGGGCTTGATGGCCAACATTTTGAAAGTTGAGGGACTCTAAAGAGGAAAGAATTTGGATAAGGACCGGGTGTTTTTTTCTTCTTTCTTCTTCTTCAGCCCGCGCATCTGCTCTTCTTTTCTTCTCCCCTGCAGCCGAAAGCCCCCAAGCCCGACAGCCTCCTCTTGAAAAACCAGTGAGAAAGCTTGGTTTTTCCCTTCTTCTCTTGTCCAAGAACAAGATTTAGGAGCTTAGAAACCCTCCCTAAAGCAAGGAATTCCAGATCTGCTCGGTTTCTCCCCCTCCCTTGTCCGTGAGCTGCAGCTGGTGATGCGAAATTCTGGGCTTTTTTCGGTAAGAACAGCCATGATTTCATCCTTTTAGCTTTGATTTAAGTTGGATTACTCTAAGTTCCTCTTGTTCCTTCAATTTTGGGCGGTTCCCGTGAGTCCCCTGCAGCTTGCCGCCGGCTTCTTCTCCCCCGCCAGGTCCGGTTCTGCTGGCTGGAAAATTTTGGTATGTGGCAGCCCTTTTAAGGCTTAAATTATCCATTAGTTGCTGAGTTTAACCATGAAATTGTTGCCCCTGCACTGCCCGAATGTTTGCTAAATTAGGGGGATGAATTCCGGTAGCTTTAGGACAAAATTTAAGCATTAATTCAAGTGGAATTTATGTGATTGAGTGTTAATTGACTGCTGTGATTTTTGGAGAGAAAATCCCGTGAAATTAGCTAGTGTTTTGCCAATTTTGGAAAGTGTGGTTACTGTTCACGGCACTGTTTACGGATACTGTTCACACACTAATGCCCAACAATTAACGGAGATTTAAATGTTTAGTTTGTGATATAAAAATAAATTTGGAGATGTCGGGTCATGTGGAGATTGAAAGGAATAGCATCGTGATTAGGGGGTAGTTATGGTGATTTTACTTTTGAATCCGTGGTGTGGTAATTAATTTTTGGATATTTTGATTAGGTTCTTGATCGTTCTGTCAGTTTAGCACTGAGATCGAGTCTTCGGTTTTATGTGAGTGAGGTAAGTAAATTTATGGTAATACTCGTATAGTTTTTAAAAGCATGTTTTAACTTGTTTTTGAAATGATGGCGGGACTAAACCCGTTTTACATTAAATTGAGCATGCCTACTTGAAATTTAATTGATTGTCCTGATGATTTGAAGGTGATTGGTGAATTATGATTTTTCTGTTAACTTCTGCTTGTTTTGTCTCCGATATGGTCATGTTATTCGTGTGCCCGCTAGTGGGAGGTTTATAAACGCTAGCACATGTCGACATGTTACTTATAGAATTGGTTCGTTTCTGTTATCCTGCTAGTGGGATTATACACTAGTAAATCATGTGCCTGTGAGTGGAAGGTTTATAACACTGGCCATGACCTATAGAGGAGATGTCTATTTCATTCCTGTACTGTATCCGTTTTTCTGATTATACTTGTTGGCATGTTATAAGTTTAATTTAAGTTTAATTAAGGGCTATCCATATTTACTTACTGAGTTTATCTCATAGTTTTCCTTGTCTACCATTTCAGAAAGCGAAACCGAGAACGAGGAAACCACGGGAAGTGACGAGTTAGAAGGCTAGCCATTTCAAAATTGATATAGATTTTAGATATAAATCATGATCTTGTAAACTAGCGTGTATTTGGAGATTTTATGATATCAGAGCAAATTTTAAGATTTTATCTTCAGATTTTAAGATTTTATCTTCAGATTTTGTGGTATCAGATTGTGATATGATTAAGTTCCGAGCCTTGTGCATTTGTGGGACCCTTTCACGAGTGCACGACGTCTGCCACGTCCTCAGATTTGGGTTCTGGGGTGTGACACTAACACTACTAGAAAACCAGGCATAAACGACAAGAATATATTCAACAAAAGATTTGTCGAATATGTATCCATATTCGACAGAAATTCTTTTGTTGAATATGTATAATCGACAGCATTAGGCTGTCAATTATGTTTTCACATATTCGACAACATTGTTGTCGAATATACTCATTGATAACCCCCTTGACCCCCCTTTCTTTCCCCATTTTTTTTCTTCCTCTACGGCGATCTGGTTTGTTGTTCTTCGGCGTTTCTTGCCGTTGTTGCCAGTATTCTTGCTTCTTGCCGTTGAGCCCCCTGTTGTCGGAATATCCGCACCGGTGATGTTGACGATGGGTTGGCCCCTCTCCTGTATGGTGATCTGGTTTTTTTTTTTTTTCCTTGGATTTACAGTCAGCATTTGCATATTTCCTTGTAGATCCATGCCTTTTGGTCCAAGATCCATCGCCTTTAAGCCACCACACGCCTCCATCGTGCCTTTTGTAAGTTGCAGCACTCTTTGTGTTTTTTTTTTTTTTTTCGTTTTGTTGTTGTTTCTTTCCTTGTTTTTTCCTTGGATTTGAGTTTACAAGACCCCAATTTCGATTTTTGTACGTCAAAATCCAGTTTTTACCGCCTTCATTGCCTCCACAGCATTATCGTCCCTATTGGCAGAGGTAATTAAGATTTTTGTGGTTTTTTTATACAAAATTATAGTCTTATTTTTAGATTAATGTAGATTATTACTATTATTGCATGAATTGTCAGTAAATTACTATTATTTCTTTCAAGTTTTTGATATTGAAATTTGTACGTTAATTACTTGCTTGAAGAGTTTTTTTTTAGTAAATTTGTATAAACAAAGTTATGGATTTTAGATTATTAAATTTGAGATTAAGATTGAGATTGATATTGAGATTAAGGTCTAAATATCTTGAAATAGAGTGATATTTATATTGAATTTCTATAGTTACAAATTTATTGTTTATTTCAAATTAGCTCAATCTGAGAGATTGATATTGAGATTGAGATGTGCATTATTATTGAACTAAAATGATATTTAGATTGAATTTTTATATATCAAATTGTTTATTTCAAATTATTGAGATTAAAATCAATATGGTAATTAAACTAGAGTACCATTTATATTTAATATATATATTTATAAAGCTACTAAATTATTTACATTGAGATTAATATATGTATGATTGTTGAAATATAGTAGTATTTTTATATATTGAATTTATATACATAAAGAAATTTAATTTAAAATTTTTAAGATTAAGATTAAGATCAACCTGTGTGGTTATTGACATGTATTGTTATTAGTTGATATGTTAATATACTTTATCAAATTGAAATTCAAATTAGGTAATTAAATGATGGACGACCATAGTTTGATAGATCGTCGTGTAAATGATAGTGGTTTTGTTACCGATGAATTTAAAGAGGGGGTGCAATTTTTTGTGAGATTTGCATTTTCAAGACCAAAAGCAAAATTAGAGATTAAGTGTCCTTGTTAGAAATGTAAATGTAGAAAATGGGGGAATCCTAAGGTTTTCTCTGTGCATTTGTGTAAGCATGGGTTTATGAATAACTATTATACATGGTATGTTCATGGAAAAACATTTAGCAATACAGTAAGAAACTTTGAAGGGGAATCTTCTAATATGGAATTTGTTAGAAATGAGGTTGATGCATTATACCATGAAATGGTAGCTGATGCAATGGGTGCACAGTCTGAATACAATGAGGGGCCAATGGCTGAGGAGCCAAATAGTAAGGCAAGAGAATCTTATGATCTCTTGCATGCTGCAAAAGTTCATATAGGTGCTAGGGGATAGGATGTTACAGTACTTTCATGGATGGCAGAAATGCTAAACATGAAAACTCTTTATAATATGAGTGTTGCTAATTGGGATATGGCATTGTCATTGAGTCGAAAGTTGTTGAGTCCAAAGGACCAAGAAAAGGTGCTAAAGGATTTTTACAATGCCAAAAAAATGATAAATGTGCTTTGACTTGGGTACAAGAAAATTGATATTTGTGTCAATGATTGCTTCTTGTACTATGATGAGCAAAGTAAGAATTTAACTGCTTGTCCAGTGTGTGGAGAATCCCATTATGAGCCGAGGAATATGTCTACTATAAGGCAAAAAGATATTCCAAGGAAATCTTTGTGGTACCTTCCAATTACCCCAAGATTGCAGCGACTATATATGTCTAGGAAAACAGCAAAGCACATGACATGGCATTTGAAATGCTGTGAGGATGTAGATGAAGTTATTCATCTTGCGAGTAGTGAGGCATGGAAACAGTTTGATAAAACCCACCCAACATTTGTTGATGAACCTAGAAATGTTAGACTTGGCCTTTGTACAGATGGTTTCAATCCATTTGGTTGCTCTACAATACCTTCCTCTTGTTGGCCTATTTTTCTTACAATGTACAACCTTCCTCCTGAATTGTGTATGAAGTTAGAGCATATATTTCTTGCCATGATAATTGCTAAACCTAAAAGTCTTGGAAAAAACATTGATGTCATGCTTATGCCATTAATTGATGAACTTAAGGAATTGTGGACAAATGGGGTTGAAACTTATGATAGTTTCAGGTAACAGAATTTTATCATGAAAGTTGCATTGCTATGGGCTATAAGTGATTTTCCAAGTTATGGCATGTTATCTGGATGGAGCACACATGGGAAGTTGTCATGCCCTTATTGCATGGAGAATACTAAGGCTTTTCAACTTCAATATGGGAGGAAAACATCATTTTTCTATTGTCATCATCAATTTCTACCTCCTAAACATCCATTTCGTAGAGATAAGAAAAATTTATATCTCAATAGAGTTGAAAAAAGCTGCCCCCCCCCCC